GCGTAAGCGCCCAGACAATTCCTTGTTAGAGTCTTTAAACTCTTCGCTCCCAAGAGCCCGTAGCAGCGCTACGCACATGTCGTCTTGTGCATACGCTCCGCGTATCAAGTCAGGCACTGACGACGTCACTGTCGTGACATGAACAGCTTAGTTCCGCTGACAGCTGCAGCTGCCACGAACACTGAGAACAGCATGTTCAGAGTGGGTAGCAGAGTTCCCCTCACGGTCGCCCAGACCTTAACTGAAGAGGAAGACGTCGGATACGCTTCCTGTGTGGGTAACACAGTGCCACACGCGGTCGCCCAGACCTTAACTGAAGAGGAAGGCGTCGAACACGCCTCCTGTGTGGGTACCATAGTACCACACGAGGCCACGAGTGCCTCGGATGTCGTAGCGCCGACATCCCTAGACGTGGGCAGCAATCTCCCCGTCATAGACGCGTCGACAAAGACGCCGCCGCCTCAAGTCGGGTCCGAACTTCGTTCCGATCGACGTCGCCTCAAGCGACTCGAAGTCCAGGGCCCGGGCTCCTCCGACAAGGCCGGTGGAAGAGTGTTATCACTTCTTCGATGGCGAGACAGGTTTACCCGTCAAGGCATCTCGTGTCCACTTGGAACCGTTTCCAGAGGTTGCAGAGATACTGAACCTCGAGGAAATGACGGCTGAGTCTTTCCTGGCCAACCTCAAGGCTGGAGAGATTGCTGAGATGGTACTCATGAGACCTGAGACCACTCAGGAGGAGCTGAACTCCTCCTCTGTCTTGGACGAGAACGTCCTGGAAGACATGAACAAGCAGCGTCAGGCGCGCTTGGGTTCTGAGATTCTCAAGAGCCCCAAAAATCCGGTGTATCCTTTGGTGACGGAGTATGCGGACGTGGTGAGCAAACACCCACCGACCCAACTCCCACCGGATCGAGGCGTACGGCACGAGATTGATCTCGTGCCCGGCACAAAGTATTGTGTCACGAGGCAATGGCCTCTCCCGCGCGAACAGTGCGAAGTCATTGATGCCTTCTTCGTCGCGAAAGCGAAGGCAGGCATGGTGCGGGAGTCCAAATCCCCGCACTCGACGCCGACTTTTTGCGTTCGTAAGCCGAACGGAAAGTGGCGTCTGGTTCACGCTTATAACAAGCTGAGCAACGCAACGGTGCCGGCCCAAACACCGATACCACGAAAGGATGTGTTGTTGAACAACATGGCCGGGAGCGTACTGTACAGTGCGCTGGATTTGGTAGACGGATACTACCAAATCCTGATGCGAGAGAGTGACATCCCGCTCACCGCGGTAAGCACTCCAAGCGGCATGCTTTGGGAGTGGCTCATCATGCCGAAGGGTTTGTCTAACGCCCCGGCGACCTTCAATCGCCTGGTGACGCAATTGTTCCGCCCTTTGCGTACCTTCGTACAGACGTACTTCGACGACATCTTCGTCCATAGCCGTGCCGAGGGAGGCAAGACGGCCATGGAGGTGCATCTAGGTCACCTCCGTCGAGTGTTGGACGTGATGCGAGCGAACAAGCGCTACGCCAACATTGACAAGTGCGTTTTTCGCGTCACCAGAGATCAAAGTTCTCGGTTGCTTCGTAAGCAACGTGGGCGCTCCGGGCTGACCCAGACAAGGTCAAGGCCATAGCAGCATGGCCGACGCCCCGATCCCAGAAGGATCTTCGAAAGTGGTTGGGCTTGGCCAGCTACCTTCACAAGTACAACGCTGGGTACGCGGGCTTCGCTACGCCCTTGTCGAGCCTTCTTCAGAAGGACGTTGACTGGCGCTGGGGACAAGAGCACCAGGATGCTTTTGACAGCATCAAGGCCAGTCTCCAAGAGGCCCCTGTTCTGGCTCTACCGGACGAGACGAAGCCGTTTAGCGTCGTCTGCGATGCCTCCGATTACGCTATCGGGTGTGCATTGCTGCAGGACGGCACGGCTGGACAGGAACGAGTCATCTCGTTCCAGGCCTGGCAGCTCAAAGCCGCCGAGCGGAACTACCCTGTCCATGACAAGGAGCTCCTGGCAATGAAATATGCCCTTGTGAAGTTCCGTGTTCACCTTCTGGGCTCTAGGCCCTTTGTGATCTACACAGACCACGCGTCCTTGAGGACGGCGACTAACTCGCCTCACCTCTCCCAAAGAATGGCGAGGTGGCTGTCCTTCTTCGCGGAATACAACTTACGCGTCGAATACAAGCCGGGCAAGCTCAACGTGCTTGCGGACGCACTCTCTCGGCGTCCCGACTATGAGTTGGCCCACATC